TGCAGCGTCGGGGCAGGAGGAGAGTGGATGTCGGTCACTTATTTTATGGAAGGAGAAGCTGAGATTCCAGACGCTAGCGGACTTGTGAGTGGTCTCGCAGTCAATGGCTGGGTGGGAGCCCACACTCCTGCCTGATGCTTAACGGGACCTGAGGTGCCCAGTGTGGTCTTCATGGACGGTGGATGGGGAGGCGATCATACAGCATGTTGGAGGAGGCACGGGGACGGGGCTGCAGGGTGTTTGTTAGAAGTGGCTTTTAGTCCCCAGAATTGTTAGGGTGCAGGAGTCATTTTGGAGAACACGGGTAGAGCTGCAAGGATCATTTAGAATGCCATTGAAGGGCCTTGAAGGCCAGGATGAAGGTCTGGACTTGATCTATAGACTGGTGAGTGAGTGGTGTGTGCGTGTGTGTGTGTGTGTGTGTGTGTGTGTGTTGGGGGGAATAGATGGGAAGAAATGTAAGAAAAATTGGTGCTATTGGTAAACTTAGGACATTATTATTAATCCCTGTAAGTGGCTGGTTGTTCAGAGTTGAAGTTCATGGAGTCACCTTACACCTTGGGCTGACAGAGGGGTGTTTGTGAACATATGCTTTCACATTGTTGCTTTCCTCAACTTGTTTTCTTCCCTATGACTTTTTCTTGGTGATAATATATTCGTAGTTAAAGATTAATCGAAATGAACCCATTTGAGTCAAATGGAATTTGGACATAGCAATCCTGTAAATGTTGAGAAAATAGAATGGATACATTGTAATTGCTTTTTTTTTTTAAATGTACCTTATATGCCACAATTCTGGAAATACCAAAGTGAAACTTCAAAGGGGCCGGGAAAATCAAATGCCTCATGGTTGAGTAAGTAGCCTGAGCGAGGCTGTAAAGGCTGATTGCAAAGAGCGGGCTAATCGGGGTCAGAAGTCTCCACTGAAGTCGCACAAAGGGTCTCAAACACTCGTTGCTAGGTTACTAATGAGAATTCACCATTTCTGTGGCCAAAAAAGTTGATTTGCCTGGTTTGCACAGGGTACCTTCTGGTGGGCAGCTATGCCTGTCACCCCTCCTAGTGAGTGACAGGAAGCGGAAGTTGGCATCCAACCTTGTGTCCTTAGGCTGAAACCTGGCCAGCTGCCCCATTATGTTACCTGTCGGGACACCAGCTATTTTTGGTTTCGGTCACTTTGCCCAAAAGATAAGGAATTTCAGGAATTTTGCTGAACACCTCTGAAATAGACTCCAAAACAATGGGCCTTTCATGGAACTCTAAACTTGACATTCAGAGTGTTATTTTAACTTGTTTTCTGTTCGTTCAAAGCATAGAAGCACTTAGCTCCTATGGAAACTTTGGACTTGGGCTGGGGGAGGTGTTCTGAAACCATCAGTACAAAGGCTGCTAATAGTACTAAGTGACCTTTGTTTAGAAATGCAATGCATTTTAAATGCTTAGGTTTAGTTCTCATTTTTAGTTCTGTTTTCACTTATTTTAGCCTTTCTTTGGCCTTTGCTTCTCGGGGGCTGCCAGGCCTTCCGTATTTTAGTCAACACATCCTCACACCTTCCTACGTGGGGCGTTTGTAAGAATGAGGAGCTAATGTATATAGAAGTGTCTTGGAAAGCAAAGTTCTATCTAACTGAAAGCCATTTGGATCATTAATTTGGAGGTGTGGTTTTCTGTTTTTTTGGTGTTAAGAATAATCATTGTTTAAAAGTGAAGTTAGTAATATTATAGTGGGAAAAATGTAATTCACTGATGAAATAGATAATTATCTGTATTTTCTTGCTTCTGTGGTTTAAGTATATAGGGTTCCATATTTCTTTTTCTTGATAAGCCTGAGGAATAAGAACTAAGAAATAAGTATACCCTAAGCTGACATGGAAGGAAGGAAATTCAGAAATTAATCTCTGAAACCAGATACCCAATGAAGTCTTGAGTTGTTTTGCCCGTTATAACCGATAGTGTTATTGGCAGCACAGAAGACTGAGGAGGTGGTGATGCAGGTGGATTCAGAAACCTGAACTGCATTGTCCCATATGATCTGGGCTACCATTTCTAAACTGGAAATCATAATTCTCCCTTCATAGAATGGTATGAGAACCAAGTGAGAAATTAAGTGTGTGGAAACAACTATATATAGGAAAGGTTAAATAAATGTTAGGCAATGCTCTTATCAGAACTGGAGATAATTACTTATTTATCATTAATAAAACAATTCCTTTGAACATTTGATGTACAACATACTGTGTTAGGTGATATTGGGGGAGACAGAGGAAAGCTATAATATATTTCCTGGGATTAAGTAGTTTGTATGCAATTTAAAACCTTAAGTTTAGCCCTGTCAGTGTGGTTCATTGGATTCAGCATCAGTCCCATGGACTGAGAGATCCCTGGTTAGATTCCCAATCAGGGCACAGATTGTGGGCTCAATCCCCAGCAGGGGACGTGCAGGAGCCAGTCAATAGATGTATCTCTCTCACATGGATGTTTTTATCTTCTCTAAAAAAAAAAGAAAGAAAAATCAACTAATTCTTAAGCCTGACCCATGTGGCTCAGTGGTTGAGCATCAACCCATGCATCAGGAGATCGCCGGTTCAATTCCTGGTCAGGGCTCATGCCCAGGTTGTGGACCAAACCCCCAGTGAGGGGCATGCAGGAGGCGGCTAATCGATATTCTCTATCATTGATGTTTCTGTCTCTCTCTCCCTCTCCCTTCCTCTCTCTCTATAATCACTAAAGAAAAAAAAAACATTTTTTAAAATAAATAAAGCTTTAAGTTTGAGGTGGAAAATATAACTGACAAAATAATCTGATATATGGATAACAACTGATTGGGAAGATGGAAAGGTCACTATTTTGTAGAATGCTCTGGAAAGGTTTCCTGAGGAAGCTGGACCTTGAATAGTATAGATGGACAGAAAGAATAAGAGGCTATTCCATATAGTGATCCCCCTCCCAATTCCAGCTCCTCCATCCTTCACCACATAGTATAGCATTAATATTATGAGTGAGAAAATGATAGAATTTTGGCCTTGCTATCTACCAGCTGGGTGACCATGAGCATGTAACCACCTTAAAACCTGATCTGGCATCTATGTAATGGATATAAAAATAGAACAGGGATACTTGCTTTCTAAATCTTACTTGCTTGGGGAAAGAAACAGAAAACAACAACACTTCCTCAGTATTGACGACATGTAATAAGTCCTCACTCAATGATCTCTTCTTGTTTAAAAAGAGAACCATGCTGATTTTCCCCAATTGCATTAATCCTTTAACTTTTATGACCAACATTGTAACATTTGATGACATGATGGAAATACAGCGTGAATCTATAGCAGCGTGAAATTTCAAGCCTTGTGAAAGATCTAGTATTTCCTGACATCCATAAAATTAGTTTTGAAGATTTGCTAAAAACACTTCCAAACCCATTGATAAGTGTGTGTTCGTGTGTGTGTTTCACTGCTGTAAGCACTTCACGTACATTCACTTCCTCCTCACTCCAGCCGTAAGGTGTTCATATGTCAGTCCCACCACAGGGAGGCGCAGCCGCGCAGACCCCACACCCAGCCCCGGGAGCACCCTCCTCAGCACACCACCTCTCACAGCGCGCAGGGACCCACGGCAGGAAATCACAAAGGAGAACAGGCACCGGAATAGAGAGAGGCTCCAAGGGAGCAAGGAAGCGCTTGTGAAACGTTGCTACAACCTGTCAACAGAGCAATGTAGATGACAATGAGAGCCGTGACCTCTGGGGTCAGACTTCTTGAGCTTCTTAGCTTCGTGACCATGGACAGATGACTCAATGTGGCTGGTTTCAGTTCCTTTTCTATCAAGTCCAGATAATTAATAGTACCTACTGATAGCATTGTAGCTGATTAAAATACCTGTGAGTGTACCTGACAGATAGAATGGACTCAGGAAACGTTAATTCCCCCTATAACTAACATTTGGGAAAATGACTGTCCTATGATCATGCTCCAAAAATCAAACATGACGCATGCCTTACGCCGTTCTCCAGGTTCGAAGCAGCGAGGCCAGAGGTCACGCAGTGGCCTGGGCGAGGGGGAGGGATTTGTAGAGTATTCGGGTGGAGTCGAACCTCGGAGCTGTGTGTTGAAGTGCAGGCTTTTAAGGAAAGAGTGAGGAGATGAGTTAGAAAACACAGCAGGTTTAAACCGTCCCCTCTGCGGCAAATGGGCGCACGGGACACAGATAAGTAGCTGCCCTCGAGCCTCATGGAGGCCTGGGAACATTTCTGCATAGTTACAGGCGGAGGAAAATCAACCCTGGGAGAGGGACCCACCGTGCAGGGAGGGGCGGGCAGCAGGTGGGGTGTGGGGTGGAGGTGGTCTCAGCTGCTGCTGGGACCCACCTGCGGGGCTCCCTCCTGGAGGTCGCTCTTGCTCAGTGTTTACGCAGGAGGCTGGGGGCTGGGAAGTGAGCATCTGGACAGTGTTTCTGTAATTTTCACTTCTTGCTCTATTTCAAGCTTCAGCAAAGCAATCTTATCTCATACATTTTTCTGTGAGTAAAAATATGTAAGCATTTTGCAAATTTCATGTTTGATAATGGTGATTTGGGGTAATGTCACCTATTTGAGATATACTCTAATACAGTCCGTAGAAAACAGTCTGCCTTCAGATGAGGCCCTAACTTCTTAGGGAGAACTGTCGTCTTTCCTCCCAGGGGAACTGGCACAGACTCTGACCGCCGGCACTGGCTCAGGAAGAGGTCCTGGCCCCAGGACTCACTCCCTGTCCCGCACGGAGAATCATGCAGAGCGACGCTGAGCTGTGCCTCTTTTCCAAAACCCTGTGACCTCAGGCACAGTGACCCACTAGCGGTTATGATGTAGGTGATGTCAGGAAGAGAAACTGGTCAAACCCAAGTCCATTCTCATGTGTTTTGTCAACTGCAGTGAAGATTGTATTGAAAATGCCCAGGAAAATTGTGATGGGAAAATTCTGAAAATAGATCACCTCTGTGGGGTTTGTTTGTTTTTTCAGTTTTGCTCCTGGAGAAGATAGAGCATGATGACATCTGCAATAAAACACTGAAGATCACGGACTTTGGGCTGGCGAGAGAGTGGCACAGGACCACGAAGATGAGCGCGGCCGGCACCTACGCCTGGATGGCCCCGGAAGTCATCAAGTCCTCCCTGTTTTCTAAGGGAAGTGACATCTGGAGGTGAGCACAGTCTGTCTGCTTTTGCAGACAACTCAGAACCTGGTCCCTGCACATCCTTGAAATGAGCCCCGTAGGATTCAGTAATTCTGGGCATAAAGGGTACTGTAGGACTTCTTGAAGGGGGTTTTATAGTTTTAATCATACAATCACAGTGACACAAGTAACTCAAGGTTTTTATGGTCATGACTTCCATTTGATAGGAGAACTTCTTGTTAAATCTGAGGTCTAAAACTGGTTATAATTGGAGTTAACAGGAACGCCAAGATTTTGTCAGTAAATAAAATTAAATTTTCACTTTAAGCAAAATATTGATTTCTCGTGATTCACAGACAGCATAGTAGCGTGGAAGGAGTTTGAGATGGATTGCATCTTCTACAGATTAAAGCTCCCGCTTTGAGGCTGATGAGCTGGATCCAAATGGGATCCCAGGTCAACTGAATGGATCACCAGGGGATGGAGATGTCTCAGTAACAGAACACCAGAGAAAAGCACTTTGTTCAATAGCTACCGTGCACCACAAGCTGACTTCTCTTTATTTAATGCTCACGAAATTCTGTGTAGAATTATTTTGGATTCTAAATTTAATTGCAGTGTAATAAAATTCTATTTTTTTTTCTTTTTTTAACAGCTTTAGTGACATATAAGTCACATATCATGTAATTCATCCATTTAAACTGTATAACCCAATGGTTTCTAGTATTTAATTACATCACAAAAATTTTAGAATATTTTCATAATCCAAGAAAGAAATCCTTCACCTCTTAGTCATCAGCCCATCCCTTCTAGGCCACCACTGATGTTCATTTTGTAGCTTTAGATTTGCTTATCCTGGGCATTTCATATACTAAATGGAATCATACAACATGTGGTCGTTGGTGAGTGGCTTTTTTCAGTTAGCGTGATGTGCGCAAGGCTCATCCATGTTTCAGCATGTGACAGAATTCCCTTCCTTTTTAAGGCTGCACGGAAGTTGGATGGGATATTACACATTTTGTCTGTGTGTTCCTCAGTTGATGAGCATTTGGGTAGTTTCCACTTTGGGGCTATTCTGGATAATGCTGCTGCGGACACCTGTGAACACGTTTTTGTGGGGACATATGTTTTCAGTTCTCTTGGGCATATACTTAGGAGGTAATTGCTGGGCCATATGGTAATTATGTGGTTAATCATTTCAGGAGCTGCCAGCCCATCTTCCAAAGCAGCTGCTCTGTTCCCATCCCTCCAGTAAGCGGGTTCCATTGCCCCACACCCTCACCGACGCTTGTTATCCGACGTTTCGATTCTAACTATCCTAGTAGTCGTGAAGTGGTATCTCACTGTGGTTAAAATCCCAGGGTTTTTGTATATAGGAGAAAACTAGGGCTAAGAGAGGAACTGTACTTGCTAAGAGCCGATGTCTGATGAGAGGCAGAAGTACTGCTGTTTGAGCCCAGATGTTTCTGACTCCCAAGTCATGATCAACAAAAGTGGTTTCCCTTCGATCACTGGCTGCAGCAGAAGTTACTCTCAGACGCACACAGCAAGCCACTGGCAGAACCCCGGCTGGTGTAAGTTCCAAAATAGTCCTTTTAATGTAAAGCTTGTCGTCTGCGTTTAAAATATAATTTAGTTATTCTATTTTTGGCTTTTACAAAATTTGTCAGCTGTGGCAGGAGTTCCAGAATGTCCTGGGGCCACTTTGAAAAGCACAAAAATGCCTGAGCCTTTACTTAATGATTAGACTCTGCGGCACGGGCGTCTTTATGAAACATTAAGTGTTTTTTCCTTGATTTCATGATGGTAATTTTCTGACCATATGATACCAAAATATGTAAATGAAGTAGGTGATTCTTCCAAGAAATTATACTTCAAGACTCTAAAATCTAATAAAATACATCAAAATCTATTTTACATTTGAAGTAATATTGCGTAAGTGTACAACCATTTCATTTTGTGTGCTCCCTTTATGAACGAGGTAATTACAAGCTATGTGAACGCTGTGCAGTCTAATAAATGCTTTATAGCGACCCCAATTATTATAGACATAGGGAAAATCAAGAGGTAAGAAAAAAAATTCTAAAACCAGCCAAAATACAGGTTTTTGAGTCTGTATAGTCCTTGGAGAGGTGGCCTCTCAAACTCTGTTTATTTCTGAATCACAGTTTTACAAGCTGAATGATCGGATTTTCGGTAAAAGCAGCTAAGTAGAAGAGGAGAGGGAGGCTAACCTGGGAATAGTAAAAATTAGCAGCTGGAAGCAAAAGAGGTGACAGGAAGGAACAAAAGCAGGAAATGCTAGGACAAGGACTAGACACTAAGGCCCTCTGGAGCCAGAGAATCCGCTACTCCTGTGCAGCACACTGGAGTCCTGGGGTGCGGACGTAGGGGCGGGACAGCCCCGCTGAACTGCGGGGACCTTTGCTTTCGAATCCTTTTATAATATCCCCGCAAAAGTGACTTCATTCAGGAAACACTGCTGTGCTCTGTGTCTGTGGGGACGAGTGTGTTTGCTGACCTGTTTCCTAGTGTGTTTACTAATGTGCCTGCTGATCCCCCCTCCTCCGAACCAGATGCAGCCCTACAAGGTCACCGAGACAGATGTTGTCCCTGAGTTTGGACAATGCCTCTGTACCCCAGTTTCACAGGGTCGGTACCCAAGCTACTGAGAGGTTAAGAAACTTCCTCAGGTTGCAAAACTAGTAAGTAGCTGACTCGGGTCTCAGGATCCCTGTCCGGCTGACACAGCCCACGACCGCCAGGCCACTCGAGTGCTCAGGACTGGGCTTCATTTATCCTGTTTGCTCCCCAGTTTCAGGGAACAGAAAAATATGCACTACATTTTAGAAATATAGTTCCACGAAATAGTTCCATGTTTCACATTAGTTCGACCTGGGTAAGCCCTCTTCTACCTGGAAAAATGAGCTACTCTGAATGACTCACTCTCTGAAACTTCCCAGAAGCTAAGTTATGTTGTTATTGTTTGTTTTTGTTTTATTAGCTACTGAGAACAGCAAGGAAGCTTCTTTGAATGTAGACACTTTTCAGTTATTCTAAGATTTCTTTGGTCCCCTGCTCTGAGGTGACTTTTATTGATTGATCTGTGAGTTAAATGTACTTATTCTTGAAGTTACGATGGCTCTGCTAATGAACCATAATATAGATACTTTTCAAGAAACTAAACAGATAACCTTTGGAAAATATTGATTGCATTGTTTATAGTTATAACATTGTATAATTTGTTATTACATTATATATTCCTTTAAAAAAATAATTGAACAAACAAAACAGAAACAAACTCAAACACAGAGAACAAATGGATGGGCACCAAATGGGAGGGGAGTTGGGATGGGTTGAAAGGATGAAGACATTTAGAAGTACAAACTGCTGGTCATAAACAATCACGGGATGTAAAGTACAGCGTGGGGAGTATAGTCAGAATTACGCTAGCTATGTGTAGTGTCAGGTGGGTACTAGACTGATCAGGGTGATCACTGTACGTTATGTGAACGTCTGAGCACCACGCTCTACACCTGAAGCTAACATACTATTGTATGTCAACCGTAATTGAAAAATCAGTTTACCTAAATTGCAAGAAATTAAAATTAAAATATAAAAGAGTGCTATGAAATCATCAAGCTGATATAACTATATTGTGTACACGAGTTAGTTCAAGGTCAGCTTTTTGTGCATGGAGACATAGCTAGTAGGTCAAGGTCAAACTCAAGTCTGCTGCCTCCAGATCCAGTTGTCACTCAGTGGTGCCTGTCACCCCTGTTCAGAGCGGGAGCCCAGACTCGGGCTTGGGGCGCACACCCTCGCTGGGGCCAGTACCACACCAGCCGGAGGCCCGCTGAGGCCCTGGCCCTGCACATTCCGTTGTTTCTACGTTGTTTTCTCGTGTTTTCGGCATAGTCTAGAGCAGCGATGTTCAGTCTTTTTCATCTTGTGACACATGTAGACTAAGGACTGAAATTCTGAGGCACACTAAAAAATATATTATATTTTTTGCTGATCTGACCAAAACCATAGGTATAATTTTGATCATTCACACCAGACGTCTATCGTTGTGTTGGCTGCTGTCATTTGTGTATTTGACAGTCTTAGGGAGAAGAGGTCATTGCCCCTGACTAGACAGTCAGGTGTCCCGTGTTGTAAACATTGTGACCCGGCTGCTTGGATATCGCTGGTCTGGAGTCCAGCAGGCACAGATGGAGTCTTTAATGAACAGCCCCGTGACCATGACGACCCGAGCCTGGAAGAGGACACAGAATTTCCCGCCCCCTGCCAGCCAGGTCTTCCTGTCACGGGGCTTTTCTGTCGTATCTGTGATGTGGGGAGCCGCGAATGTCCTGCCATCAGAGGATAATCCCAAATTCAAGCTGTTCTTGTTCTTTAACTTAAACCCAATGAAGTTTTAAAAGATTAGAAAAGGAAATAGGACTGTCGGGTGGCACTAGCCATGCTAACAGGAATAGGAAGCGAGTGTGACTTCCTATGTGCCTGTGTTTCATTCAAGTCAGGGAGTGGTCTGGGGACAGACTTCTGTGTGTCGATAAAGATCACTGGAGTGCCCTGGATGTTTTGGAGCAGATGAAGAGAAACTAAGGTAATGTACAAACGTATTTCTGGATTCCTTCGTGTTGCCTCAAAGTCTGTGGCAAGGATGCGGAGTGAGAGCGGTCCTTCGGCCTCATTTAATACATTGATCCCGAAGTTCTTCAACTGGGACCTGTCTCGTTGGTTGTAACCGCGTTTGCCTTTGCCGCCCGAAGCAGCCACGAACCCGGGTGGCAGCTGCAGTGGTTCTCGGCCCCCCCCCCCCCATTCGCTCCACCCTCCTGCAGGCCGAGTGCGTGGGTGCAGACCAGGGAGCCGCCGCCGCCTCGGGTCTGCTGCTGTGAATCAGCACCGTGGGTCCATTCGCCACACACCTGAGCTGCGAAGGAGAGACAGAAAGATAAACAGCTGTGGCCTATTTAAAACTTCCCAGTCAACGTGATTCGATCTCAGCCCTGCAGTGTGTAGCCTGTGGGGCGGGGTGGGGCTCTTCCTGTCCTCCAGAGGGCTCCCCAGGTGTGGGGACAGGACTGGAGGAGAGGCACAGCAGGCACATCGCGCTCAGGGTGTGGCCTGGCCCTGGCCCTGCTACTCAGGTGGCGCTGCACCTGCGCGTTCCTGCTCCGACGCAGCTGAATTCTTAATGAACGCACAGCTGATGTCTGGTTGAATGACCTTGACCTCTCACGTGGAGGGAGGGTCCCGAAGGTTCTCACTGGCAGCTGGAGGACGGTGCTGATCCATTTGTCTCACCAACTGTGTCGTAGGGAGAAGACACCACTTACCATTGAACTTCATGACAACTTTGCTTTCTAGCTACGGGGTGCTGCTGTGGGAACTGCTCACGGGCGAAGTCCCCTACCGCGGCATCGACGGCCTCGCGGTGGCCTACGGCGTCGCGGTCAACAAGCTCACTCTGCCCATTCCGTCCACCTGTCCCCAGCCCTTCGCCAAGCTCATGAAAGGTATTTGCGCACCTGTCTGTGTCTGCAGGGGCGAGGGCAATCACTCTACAACATCTATATTATTTTAACCGAAAAAAAATTCCTGTGGTTCTTATTTTCAGATGCTTTTAAGTACTTACACTATTTTAGAGTTAGAAACCTTGTCTTTGATCTAAGATATCAGGTCAAGTTTTGATGAAGCAAGTAATTTAAAAACCATCCAGTTTTACCAGTGACTCATTTATGTACAGAATTCAATTGAATGGTAATAAAGTTTTCACCAAGTACGTTAGTAGAATTCAAAGACAATATTGAGTTGGCTTCAAATCTGCTATTTAAAATTTTACCTAATGATAAAAATGTTTTACAGCCTTAACTGGCATGGTTTGCCATGACCTTATGTATTTGATTCTTCTCTCTTAAAAATTAACTAATTCTTTTTGTAAGCAGCGAGTTACCTTAATTACTAGGCTATTTCTTAGAGCCTCTCTTGTGTTTTTAATAGTTTAGAAACTAGTTTTCTTGGTTCAGGTTATAGACCTTCGTATCAGTAAATCCTCTGGCCAGGCAGCCTGGGCCTGAAACCATTCCTGCCAAGGCAAGGTACATGTCCAATATTAATGTCATGTAATGTAGACAACAAGAGGCTTATCTACAAGTAATTATTATGTATGTCACTGACATGGACTCGTGTAAAATAAAATTTTCAAAATCATTATCAATATTTTTTTTCCCCATTGATTTTTACATAGAGTAGAAAGGAGGGAAGGTGGAGGGGAGAGAGAGAGAAACATCGATGTGAGAGAGAGATGTTGATTGGCTGCCTCCTGACTGACCCCAACCAGGGACAGGTATCAAACCTGCAACCCAGGTACATGCCCTTGACTGGGAATCAAACCCAAGACCCTCCAGTCCTCAAGCCGATGCTCTAACCGCTGAGCCAAACCAACCAGGGCTCAATAGACTTTTTAAAGCTTCAACTATAGATACTGTCAACATGGGCTGCTAATCTGAATAATAATGGTGTTAATGAGATTCTTGTTTATTTTAGAATGCTGGCAACAAGACCCTCATATTCGCCCATCATTTGCCTTAATTCTTGAACAACTGACTGCCATTGAAGGAGCAGTGATGACGGAACTGCCTCAGGAATCTTTTCATTCCATGCAAGATGACTGGAAGCTGGAAATCCAGCAAATGTTTGATGAGCTGAGAACAAAGGAAAAGGTAAAAAATATATATATGTATTTGCCTAATATACTCATATTTATGAAGATTATGGAAAATAGGAGTCAAGAACCGCCATTAGCATTATTCTAAAATATTTTCAGACATCAATATTTATTGATTCTTGCTTTCCAGTTAGAATAAAACAACTGTACTTGAAATGTGTAATTGGAAAAGAAAACAATCTTTTATTAGGGGAATTTTCAATGCTAAAAAAAACAGACAGAGAGCCCTGGCTGGTGTGGCCCCGTTGGTTGAGTGTCATTCCATGCCCCAAAGGTTGCTGATATGATTTCCAGTCAGGGCACATGCCTGGGCTGTGAGCTTGGTCCCCAGGGGGACAGGAGGCAGCCAGTTGATGTTTCTCTCTCACATTGATATTTCTCTCCCTTTCTCTTCCTCTCACTTTCTAAAATAAATAAAAATGCATTTTTTAAAAAAGAGAATAGCTTAATAAAACCTTTATGTGCATTAAGAAGCTTCAATAATTGTCCATATTTTGTTCATTTCTTTTCCCCAATATCACTCTTTTTCTAAACTGGAATATTTTAAGTTAAATCCTAGATTTAAGTCATTTTACCCTTAAATGCTTCCATTTGCATCTCTAACTAGTAAGAATTTTCAAAATAACTTTCTTGCCATTATTATCTTAAAAAGTAAGAGTAATTGTCCTGGTTAGAGCCTCAGCTGGTAGACCAGGTCTTGGGTTCAATTCCTGGTCAAGGGCATGTACCTGGGTTTCAGGTTAGATCCCTGGCCCTGGTCAGGGTTGTGGGCGAGGCAACCAACCAATCAATGTGTCTCTCTCACATTGATGTCTCTCTCTCTCTCTCTCTGTCTCCTTCTTTCCCTCTCTCTCTAAAAAAAAAAATCAATGGAAAAATATCCTCGGATGAGGATTAACAAAAAAAGTAAAAAAAAACCCACCAGTAACAGTACTTCCTTGATACCATATAATACTCCATTTTCTATTGTCTCAGTTTGCCTCCAAGAGGTCTTCTTAGAGTTGGTTGGTACAAATCAGAATTTAAACAAGGTCTATGTGTTGGTTTTAGTTATATATTTTAAAGGCTCTTTTATGCTAGTCCTCTCTCTTTATTTCCAAAACATTGCTTTTTCGGAGAAACTGGGAACTTTTTAATATGAATTAAGATCTGATTAGTTTATATATTTTAAGAAGAAGAAAAATAAACCTATATGTTAAGCATGTTGAAGCTGCTTTTATATTTCTATAAAGTGAAACATAAGAAGTAAAAACACACCTAATTGGAAGGCACACTTGTGGGAAGTGAGTTCACTTAGTTTGGTCTCCTTTGACTGGTGACAAATGACTGGTAATGGTCACTGAAGAACCCCAAGTTCAAGGTGTGGTTCTGTGCTTAGGAGGCAGTACTTATTTTTCTGAAGATATTTTTGTAATACTAGAGCATTTTGATGAGTCCGGTTTATTCTGGTGGTCTGAAGTGTTGAACTGTTCAAAAGTTTGAATTCTTCTTTTGTGGGTACAAAAATGGGCTAAAGTACAATGTTGCAGGTTTCTGATAACCTTTATAAAGCCATATAATTGTCCAGAAAAGAATTTCTATACCTCAAATATTGATGATTCTAAAATAGCAGAATTATGTTTAGGCAATAATATTTTGCTACATAAAGAGTCTGTTTACTTACTCCAGTTTATGACACTGATACATGGGTGATGGTGTAGCTGAGAATCATTCTCCCTTGTTAAAGTGACCATGACTCCTGTAGTGTGGCTCTGAATTCCATCTCTCGACTTTAGTACGAACTGTAACCCTAAAGGCTCACAGCTAACCCAAGTGCAAAGGACAGGGTGAAGGATGGGACACAAAGTTGTGGTGTGAATTTATGCACATAAGCATTTCTTGAGCCAATATATATCTGTATTACATATATTATAATTACATATATAAACAATATATATAAAATATATATAAACAATATATAGATAATGATATATATAAACAGTTATATATATATAATACTGTGATGATATCAAGGCACCGTATGCCCAAATTCTACCCTTGAGTAGATGACTTTTGATATCTTGCTGAATTGGGAATTAATACAATGTATGTCAGAGTTATTCCCCAAAGTGCAAGTTGTTTTCTAAAACAATGAATTTAAAAACGTGTCTATGGGGAACGGTTCTGAGCTTCAATGCAGCAATTTTTTCAGCGAACACACAGTGCATCCACTGTTCTGGGAGCAGTTGCGTCCTGGGATACAAAGATGGATATGGCAGTCTGTGTCCTTGAATGGTCCTTCGAATACCAGGCTGGGGATTTGGATCTTGTTGGCAAGTTTTTAAAAGGCGTTTCATGTGCGATTTTGGCAACACTTTTTAGCCAAATATTGAAGGCAACCTCCTCCTCTCTCCCCTCTGCCTTCCCTCATTCTGCTTCTTCTTTTATGCTGATGGGATTACTGTTCTCTTAGATACCCAGTCTCAAAGGTCTTCGAAGATGTTTCTCGTGGTCTCCTATGGGACAAAGCCCATCCGTGGTAGCTCGCTCCCCTAACCCCTGGGACCTCATGGAGCCTGATTACTGTGGCAGCATCCTACCTGGTTGCTCTGCATCTGGTATTGCTGATCCCTTTACCACCACCAGTGACCCTGCAAACGAGAATCTGAGCTTCGTTGCATCAGTGGCAAATTCCATTTCCTTATTAACTTCCCTTGTTCTTCCATAGTGAGCCTCACTTGGTCCCTGGCCATCATGAGTTTCTCCCAGTTTCTCTGGTGCCATGCTCTTAACTTTTGGCCTTTGTATCCAGTCTGTCCTTTGTCGAGAACACTGTCCCCTCCCAAGCTTTTATTCCCCACCCCCCCAATGGCTGTCTCCTTCATTCTCAGTCCTTTGGTCTCCTTCCCTTGCTGCACCAGATAAACTCATGTCATAGGAGCCTGTACCTCCCTTACCATGGCTGTTCTAAGTCATTATTATTATTTGCTTGTTTAATTGTTCTTGGTCTGCCCTTTCTGCTAGATAGTAAACTCATGAGCTGTACTGTTTCATTCTTGCTCATTTTCATCCACAGCATTGAACAAAGTACAAAGTCCTTGGTACATGGTAGGCATTAAATAAATCCATTAAATAAGCCTAAGTAAAGTTCCTTAATATGCTCCTGATAAGTATTTTAATAGGTGAGAGATATCAACAATCATTAGTGTTATTGTTATTACTATTTTAAGTAAAAAAGGAATTGAAAAGTGTATAAATGTTAGGAACCCTAGTATGAATCTTACACTATAACAGAGGCATATAATTTAGCTGTTTAACATCTGGTCATACAGTCTCAAGAAACTCCCACACACATGCACAAGGAAATTAAGGTTATTCACTTATGTGTTGTTTGTACTAGTGAAAAACTGGAAGCAACCCCAATATCTAATGGGGAAATAGGGGTCTAAACTCTTGTGTATTTATACAGTGGGAATCTGTACGGGAGTGAACATGAAAGAACTCTAGCTACATGTTTCAACATGGATAAATCTCAAACACAGCATTGAGTGGAAAAGCAAGATGCAGAGGAATATTTATATTACGTACTATATGTGTAAATTTATAAAACAAAACAATTCAAATGTACATAAAGTTTATCAGCCTAGACAGAAAGAATAGAAACCGACCGCAGAGCATTAGATCTGAAGGGGGAGGGGGGCTTACAGCCCAACACATAGGACTCAAGCAGGCCTGAAACACACATGGTAGTTTAGCAGCTAATAAGTGTTGACGGTGAGTGCAAGGGTTGGCTATTCCATTTACAGAATGTGTTAAATATTTATGATTAAAAATAAAGGTTAGAGAGAACTACGTAAACTGCAAAAGGTTTTTGTTTTCCTCAAAGTCATTTTTGCCAACTAGTACATTTACAGGTAATCCACTCTGTTCCCTAGGTTTTTCAGTATTTCGTAAGTTTAAAAATACAAAATAAGCAAATGCAACCTTAGACCCCGACCACTGCTAATAAATCCATAGAGCTCATATGATAAATAATAATCCTGTTGACTGTTCGGATCATATCCACGGTGTTGTGTCTGTCAGCCTCCCACGGACAGTGGCAGAGGCAGGATAGGGGCCTGGACATCTGAGCAGAGAACAGAAGGGGTGGGGGTTTTGGGGTTGCCCTCCAATATTGGAAGAACCTTCAGAGTAGATGAGGAAGGAGATATGTTTCATGTTGTTTCAGATTTAGAGGTAGGACCTCTTGGGCTCCAGGGATTAAAATTTGGTCCCCGAATTGAGAACGTTCCAGCATGCAGATCCATCTGCTACTTCCCATGCCATTCAGCTCCTTTCCTGGGGCTCGAAAAACCTCGACGGCCCTTCCCCCCTTTTAGTGTTAAGTCTTGAGCAGAATGCAGGGGTCTGGCTCGCTAGCAGTCTAGTGCGGCTAAGACCAGACACCGGAGTCCCCCAGCCTGCTTGGCACTGGGCTCTGCCATTTGCTGACCTAGGATCGTTCTTTTGCCTTCTCATCCTTAAATGTCCCGGGAGTACTGTCTCAGGCCAAGGTGCCTGTTTCTCAGTAAGTGCTAAGTGTCAGGGTTAGCCTCAGAACAGAGCAGGCGCTGGCTCTGAGTGTGGGGGGGCAGGTTGCAGCAGCCACCCCCCTTTCCCAGCCTGGTGCTCAGGAACCCGCAGCACTGGGGAGTGACCCACTGACTTCTCAAATCCTGCAGGTCTCTGTAGGATTCTCATCAGTGATGGTATTAATACGTCTCTTGGAAACTTTAATACAATTTGTTGACTTAAAATGATACAGAAGAGACTCTGATGGGGTTTTTCTTTTTTTTTCTTTTTTCACTTCCCCAAATTATTTTCAGGAACGCTAAAGAGTAGATGTTTAATAGCAAAAATAAAAGAAGATTCTGGGGAATGGGAGAGGACTTTGAGGAAAAATAAAACTTGAAATCCCAGAATTAAAAATTTGGAAGTAATGTTAATAATGAAGTATTACTTTAAACTATTTTATTTAATTACTTTAAATCAATGATAATTATATCATTAGAGGGATATGTAGAGAGTTCATTCTTACTCCGTGTGGTGTCACAATCAAAAAGCATCTTCACAAGTGCATTCTGCTCTTTCTCCCTTTTGAGGTTTTATGAGTTCCTTTGTTATCCTCTGTGTTCCCTCTTCAGCTGTGTTATTACACTAGTGACTCGGCTTTTTCTTATGTGACGTGTGCAGCTCTCCTTGGGGGTCGGCGTGGACGGTGTCCCGTGGGCCTTCCGTTACGGGGAACCTAGTTTCAGTGTCTTGCTCAGAGGTTTCTAACTGCATCTTTTTTGCTGCAGTTAAGCACAGCATGTGTGCTCTATCTCCCTTTCTCCTTCACTGAATGCTTGAGGTAGGAGGCGTCAGACTCGGAATTAATGGGCAGTAACTTGGCTGTGCTCTGTGTTATTCAGTAAACTGTAGCCTCCACAGATACTGTTCCTCCCTAAATTCCTGGCTGCTTATCTCTGTGTCTGCCTTTGTGCGTTGGGTGCACAAAGTGTCTTTGAACCACTACATGAAGGCATGTCACCGTTAATGATTAACATCTGCCAGGAGTCTGGATTTGCTATTAGAATGGCCCATGCCAAGCAATTAAACAAATATTAGTATTGACTGATCTCAGCAACCAAAAGAATTTTTTGCGTGCTTCATAATTTCAAAATATTCCAACTGGTTCTAATACCCCATGCTTTTTTTCCCCCCCTTTAACTTCTGAATGTTTAAAATTCATTCAGAAGGAAGAGTCTTTGGCTGCTTTCTCTCTGACCTTATTTTTTTTTTTCTGTTATAAAGTCTCAGGCAGGTGATTTTTTTGTTTTTATTCATCAAGCAGTTGTGAGGGATTCACATTTTAGCTTGGGACTTGGAATTAAAAATGGTTTCTTACTCAATTACTGTGAGTAACACAAAAACCTGATTGAATTTGCTGCCTTATCTCTTCCTCATGCCATTTCATTTCACAATAGCTAATTGGATTGATATCAACACCACTGAAAAGTAATATCTTAACAAAAGGGCAGACAGTAATGAGTTAGAAATTGGAAGTGACTGGAAATTATCCTCTGTCCCCAAATACTCTACAGTGAAATCTCTAGTTTAGACAAACTGGTTGGAGAAAGGCACCCATTAAATAATGGACTCCGTAATGTTTCTGAAGTATGTACCATTTCTTTTCTTTTTTTCTTTTTCTTTTCCAGCAGTACATGGTCATTTCTGTCTGACACAGTGTTATGAAGAAATATGGACCTGCTCTGTAAATAAGAATCAGCTGCTGCATATTAACAGGAGTTATTTGCATATCAGTTGGTCTTAAGTCAGTCATTTCTCCTGCAATTTTGGTTATGAAGTTTGTTTAGAAAAATAAATTTAAAGAATGTTTCAAAGGTGCATTTCAGTCCATTTTGGTAGAATTCCCGTAGTTCAGAATTTGTTTGATGTGAATAAATAATTTTTTTGTTTTGTGTTTAGAGCTCCCTTGTCTCTTCTGGATGGTATTGTATTTATTTGTGGAAGGATGGACTTCTGTGTTTATTTTTCTTTATGATAGCTGTACTGATAGCCTCCAGTTATTCGAGTCCATCTGCGAAAGGCTGAGGGCTTAGTGGACTCATGTGGCTTTTCTGTCCCAGGTTCAGCTCTGGTTTCTTCCATGAGCCGCATCTCACAGCGTTTCGACGAATCCTATTTTCGAGGGGGCCTGTGTGGTTGTATAAAGTGCGACATGTTCACAGCTCACAGCTCTCCCAGCTCTGCCCAGGCTCCACCTGAGAGGGCGGGGCCTCTGACAGAGTGAGTGGCTTTAGGCGAGTCTAAGATTAAGTTTGTCCCGAGCAGTGTCAGTCGGAGTTGGTGGTGCCTCGATTTCTCGGGGGGCCCGATTTAGTAGCAGGAGAACTAGAAGAGAAAGTATTCCAGCATCGACAGGAATATTTGTCTCTGGGAAAGAACAGAACACTTTGCAGAAATGAAGTAAAAAGGGGTTGTGATTAAAAAACTTTGTAGAGTTCTCAGTTTCACTATTGAATACATTAACAAAAATAAGAATACAAGTGTATACATTTTTCAGTTCATAGATTTTCTGTTTCTCAGAAGTTTGATAATTTGAAAACATACCCAAGAGGAAGTTAGACTTTAATCAGAAAGTATGGCGACAGAGGGACTTCTGTTAGCTCATTCATGACACCAGCGGATAAAGTGATACTTCTACCCATCCACGGCATCCTGGAAAGCTCTTTGTAACTGGACCTATTTTTCATTGGCTTAAATTTTAGAGATGTCTCATTTTCATGGACCTTCAGCTGACTCCTAACACATTAGCTTTTTCTTTCCCATAATCTCTCCACCAAGATGCCTTCATCTGAAGCAGATTTTTTATGTTGTTGTTTTTTTATCCTCACCCAAGGACATTTTTCCATTTTTTGTTCAGGTAGAGTGGGAGGGAGAGAGAGGAACAGAGAGAGAGAGAGAGAAACATCGACGTGAAAGGAACACATCGAGTGGCTGCCACCCGCACACCGACCAGGGCCGGGGACAAACTGCAACCGAGGTACGCGCCCTTAGCGGGAACCGAACCCGGGTCTCTCAGGACCGCAGGCCAACGCTCTAACCGCTGAGCCAAACCGGCCAGGGCTGAAGCAGATTTTTAAATACCCTTAGAGGTCCTTAAGTAAGGAAACCTGAACCGCAGTCTTTTGTAACTAAAATAATAATCCTTTAATTAGCCAAGCTGTAACTTTGGGTTTAATTTAAAATGGATCACACGCATCTGCACTTTGTTGCTCTGTGTCAATGTACATTTTATGTGTCAGGTGGTTATAAAGGCAAGAGATAAAGAAAGAGAAACATGAACATCAAGTTTAAAACGACTGTGATGGTCCTGGCTGGTTTGGCTCAGCAGTTAAGAGCATTGGCCTGCGGACCAGAGAGTCCCGGGTTCGGTTCCCGCTAAGGGCACATACCTTGGTTGCAGCTTGTCCCCGGCCTGTTGGGGTCTTGTGGGTGGCAGCCACTCGATGTTTCTCTCTCTTCCTCCCTATCTGAGGATAAATGCAAAAGTGTCCTCGGGTGAGGCTGAAGAAAAAAACAACTGAGATGCCTCTCTTAGGATCTTAAACTGAAAGAGCATGGAAGGGCTATGGTTTTGGTGGACTTGGTGCTGCGAACAGGCCTCGGCTCCGCCCGGGCTGCAGGTGGCGCTGTGCTGTGCGGCCTGCGATGAGCAGGTGTTTGGACCGAAGAGGAGGTTTCTGCCGGTGCTGATGCTGATGCTGGTGTCGCTCTGTCGCAGGAGCTGCGGTCCCGCGAGGAGGAGCTGAGCCGCGCAGCCCTGCAGCAGAAGTCGCAGGAGGAGCTGCTCAAGCGGCGGGAGCAGCAGCTGGCGGAGCGCGAGATCGACGTGCTGGAGCGGGAGCTCAACATCCTGATATTCCAGCTCAACCAGGAGAAGCCCAACGTCAAGAAGAGGAAGGGCAAGTTCAAGAGAAGTCGCTTGAAGCTCAAAGACGGACATCGGATCAGTTTACCCTCAGGTACGACTTTGTCTTCGTGTTGCACAAGGCTGCTGTGTAATCAGCTTCTTTGGGTGATCAGGACCGGGTGGAGGTGGGAATGAGATTATTAAACATTGAGTGTCTTCCGTTGCTTCCTTGGGTTCGTGCATCGTGGAATGAACCACGAGCTTCCACGTGTGAAACAGCATCGAGCATGCCTGGCACTGGGTGGCGTGCAGAGTATTTAACTCAGAGCACTTGCTTTGTGTGGGCTCATTGATGTTCTCCTTGTGACAGCAAAGCGGAATTCCTGTGTGGCTGATGCACGGAGCCAGGGCGCCTGGCGTTGTCCAAGTCCGGGACAACTGCTGCTATTCCACCTTGGGTTTATTGTCTCCTCGGCATCTAGTGTCATCTGGTAACAGAGCTCATTTGGGACACAGATGCTCTTAGCACCTTCAACAAAATATATCAAGTATTCTACTTTTATCTGAGGGTTTAAAATGCTTTAGGTATAAAAATGAATCAGGAAATCTAGGGAGGCTCTTAAAAATGTTTTTAAATCATTGTGACAATACCATAAAGGGATTACATGTGTTGGGAAAAACTGAGCAGAATAGACAATAGCCAGCACACATTTATCTAATTGTCCTTTAGTGGTATGCTCTGTACTTGATTTAAGGAAAAGCCAAATGCCCCACATAGTTTGTGGTTCTAATACCAGGGAAGGGTGGGTGCTGAGCCAGGGTAACTGCACTTTATAGAATTTTAATGAAATATTCACATAGCTGCATCAACCTACCTCTCTGTTTCTCTTGTATGGCTTGTATATTGGAGTGTTTTATGGATTCTGGTGTTTTCCTAAGATGTGTGTTAATGGCGTGGGACTTTGATTTAATAATAACAGTTTTGTTTTATATAAAGTGTGTATAAGTTGTCCTGTAAATATACTTATTACAAAAGGTTGGAATCCTTGCAGCCGAGTGTGGTTTTTTTTTTTTTTTTAGGTTATTGCAGAAGTCCTCGAGGGTCAGCAAAGTGCTGGTAAGGGGTGGTCATGAGTACACACACTGGACATTATTGATTATTTGGTTGGATGAGGTGAGAATAGGCTCTGGGTCCTTATTCATTTTATCTGCGACCTCTCTTGGATAAATAGTCACTTCTCGGGTTCCCTTCTGATGTTTGCTTTTAACGTAGAGGACCGCCACTGGACAATACGTCAGACACAATGTGAAATAGTCAAGTTTATTTATGAGGAGGCTTCTCTTTTCGGGTACGGGTGATGGAGAAAATCAGAGAGGCCCCGACGTGAGTTTTCTTCTCCAGTTCTTAGCTGCATTAGCTTTCCTCAGTCTGCGTTGTGACTGTTACTGTCATTGATAGTCATTGATTCACTTGGGAAACTTGTAAGGGGAGGCACTTAGTGTCTCTTCTCCCTCGTTTGTTCCCCATAGTTTGTCACCAAGTGCTGTGGCCTGGCTCTGAGTTCTGGTTCTGGTTCTGGGCCTGTTTTCCGCTCTGGCTGGAGGCGCCTCCCTGCTGTAAAAACTCACAGAGCATTGGCTCCATGGTGTTGTGACAATCACGGGGCTCGTTGAACCTTTATAAAGCACTTCGATCCAAAATAAACTGTTTCATATGGGTAAGAATTTCTTTCTTTTACCACTTCCCCTCTCCCAGTCCAGCCTGTCATCATGTCCTGCGGACCTGTGTTCTCTCGTCCCCTCTTAAACTGCTCTGCCTGGGCAGGCCTTTCGTAATTTCTTACTTGGTAGATAGAAGCAGCCCCCACCTGGTACTTCATTTCTGTTTGCTTCATCTTCCAAGCCCTCCACCCTACCCCGTATTTCTCAGCAATTAACCGTAAGCACCAGTCCAAACCTATTGCAAAACCTTGCACAGTTTTCTCACTCAACACGTGACGATCTACCACGGACTAAGTACTAGGGATTGCAAGTAAGATGAACATGATCTCTGCCCTCACGTCACTTGCAATCTTACACAGAGAGTATCCATTCGGCCAGGATTTGCTGAGCACCTTTTCTGTGGGAGGTACCAGCTGGTGTGCCCTGGGACGGGGCACAGCTGTGCTGGAGACAGCCTGGCCTCTGCCCACGTGGAGCTCGTGCTGTCTTGGGGGAGGGGACCTTCAGCTAATAATCAAACGGCTATTTATTTTCTTGCTATAATTGTTGACTACAGTGAGGGAAAAGTCATATGACAGTGATTAGCAGAGAGCTGTGTCCTGGTCTGGGGAGAGCTTAGAGGGCCTCTTCAAGAAGTAGCATTTACAATGAGACTTGAAGTAGGGATGTACCAAATACAAGGGGAAGGCAGAGAACATGTGCAGAGAAGGCTGCTCCTTCCAGGACCTGAGAAAGGACCGGTGGGCTTGACCAGGGTCAGCAAAGGACACTCCCCTCCCAGTCACATCCAGCTGCCACCTGTTTAGTACAGCCCACGAGCTAAGGATGGTTTAGTCACTTCTAGATACTTGAAAAGAACAAGAAGACCACTTCACAACATGAACATTATATGAAATTTAAATTGGACTGTCCATACTGAAGTTGTATTGGAACTGTGACTGCTTCCTCGCTGTACCTGCAGATTTGAGTTGTTGTTATAGAGACATATGTCTCATGAAGCCTAAAATATTTACCATGTGTCACTTAACAGCAAAAGTGTGCTACCCTGGTTTAGACCAGGGTGAAGGACCAGAGAACAGGGCCAGATGACACCGTAGCAACTCAGATTTGGAGGGGCTCATAGAGGATATGCGACAATATACAACTGTACCTTAAGAATCATGAGGAGCCCTGGCTGGTTTGGTTCAGCAGTTGGAGCGTTGGCCCGTGGACCAAAGAGTCGCAGGTTCAGTTCCGGTCAAGGACACGTACCTCAGTTGTGGTTCGTGCCCAGCCCTGGTCGGGGTTGTGCCGGAGGCAACCAGTCGATGTGTCTCTCTCACATTAATGTCTCTCTCTCTCTCTCTCTTTCTTCCTTTCTCCCTCCCTGCCACTCTCTCTGAGGAAGAATGGAAAAATATCCTTGGGTGAGGATTTAAAAAAAAAAAAGAACCATGAGGAGCCTTTGAAGGGCTTTAAGCAGGGAGTGACATGGTCAGGCATGTACTTTTAAACCCGCATGTGGCTGCTATGAGGTAGACCAGAGGCCCAGAGGCAGCTGCAGGAGGTAGAGGCTGGCTGGCTGGGGGAGCAGGAACAGGCCAGCCTGAGGGGATGGAGGAGGCGGAAGAACAAACAGAATCAGACAGCCCGGCCCGCGCGGCTCAGTGGGCTAAGCATCGTCCCATGGGTTGAGAAGTCCCGATTCGATGCCCGGTCAGGGCACTTGCTCAGGTTGTGGGCCTAATCCCCAGTAGGGGGCGTGCAGGAGGCAGCCAATCAGTGTTTCTCTCTCACGTCGCTGTTTCTATTCCTCTCTCCCTTTGTCTCTCTCTAAAAAAGCAATAAAAACATATTATTTTAAAACAAGAATCAGACATGTAGTAAGTGTTTATTAGGTCCTGAACCCTGTGCCAAGTATTGTCTATACTTCTTTGTATATAATTATTTTTATAGTTGTCCTATGAAGTAGGAATAATGATATTTTCCATTTGAACATAACTGCAGCTTAAAAAGGTTAATTTGCTTTCCCAAAATTCATATGGCTAGTAAGTGGTGAACTGGGTTTAAATTTAAGTTTGCTAACTCTAAAATCTAGAATATAAACTTCTCAACTCTACTATGAGAAGAACATATACCACAGATTTACAAGATACTTTGTGTCTGATTTGCTAGGGAGGGTCAAGGAGACAGTATCAGGAAAACTTTTCAGATTCCTAGCGGGATTTACTGGATAGCTGTCTTGCCTACCAAATTCCAGTTCTTATTTCAAATAGTAGGCGGTTCTTTATAATTTTTTAAAAAGGTAAACTGTAGTTCTCCCGCAAATATGATATTAACCTGTCAAAGATTTTTTATTCAACTCACTAATTAATGAGGGAACTAGGTAAAAATAGTTCAGACAGAGTTATCGGCGCTAAGTATTTATGGGCCATTTATAAAGGAATGTTAGGATCGAGTGTTAGGATTAGATTGCTGGGTTAAATACAAACCTGGTTAATGCCCAATATGGCAATAAACCATAACCTTTGGGATTGTCTTTTTTGCCAGATAGAAACGATTTGCATCATCACCAGACAAAATCCACAAGTTAACCTCTGTTCCTTCTGAGTTGTAAAAATGTCCCAGCTGATAGAAAATCGATCCGAGGGGAAGGCGCCGAAAGAACACCCGGAGATTCCCTTCACCTGTGTCTGAGTTTTCAGTATTTTTTTACAGTTTACTACGTTTTCAGTATTTTTTTACAGTTTACTACGTTTTCTCAGTCTCCTCTTCCCTCTGATACTACTGCTCTTTCTTTCATATATTCCCATAGTTCTTTGCACATCTCTGTCATGACACCTGTCCTCTCCTACATTTAGGTAAGAGCACATCCAGCCGGTGTGGCTCGGTGGTTGAGCGTCGACCATAAACCAAGAGGTCACCGGTTCGATTCCCCATCAGGGCACAAGCCCAGGTTGTGGGCCCGATCCCCAGTGGGGGGCATGCAGGAGGCGGCCATTCGATGTTCTCCCTCATCAGTGTTTCTATCTCTGTCTCCCTCTCCCTTCCTCTTTCTCTAAAAAAAAAAAAAAAAACAATAGAGAGAGAGAGAGAGGAAAACAGAGTGACTACCCGTGGGACAGTGCCGTGACCACAAAAGGTTTTACCTATAGGAGAGGAAGTACTTTTTCTTGACCTTCTTAGGGTCCCTGGCTGGGTCTGAAAATTAAACTAACAAAGACATCAACAGGGGAAAGGCAGAAAAATCTGTTTAATGTAAGTTTTGCACAACATAGGAGCCTTCATCGGGAAATGGAAGCCCCGGACACAGTGAGACCCGAGTATGTCTGCCGGGTGCGGTGCATCGCCCAGTGCGAGGTTAAGAAGTGTGTTCCAGTGTGTGCCGGGTCCCATCATAACCTGTATTTTCCGTTTCCATCACCACAGCAACCCTGAGTGGTGGTGTTCCCCTGCAGCGGTGAGGAGACAGGCTCAGGGAGGTTTCTTGCTGGGGTCAGGTCCATAGTTTGTTAGCGACAGAACCAGAACTCATTTAAATCCAGGGCCTTCTGTTTCCATTTTGTTTTTAACCGTGTCGGACTGGATGACGCTAGCTCTTCCCGGAAAGTTGTACGAGCTACAGGCACTTGGTAACATTTCATTTTCCCGCGTGGGAGTGGGTGTCGTCTCTCAGTGTATCTAGCACATAGCTGAATCGTTATGGCCTTGAACCCCGCGTGGCAGAGGAGTAAGCAGCAGACCCTGTGGGATGTGCTGCCGTCTTGCTGCCTGGCAGTGTCTGCTTGGACCGCTGTGGCTCACGGCAGGACTGTGAGATGCACTAAAACCAGGAGGTCTCAGCTCTTCCTTCTCTCCACCTGGCAGATTTCCAGCACAAGATCACCGTGCAGGCCTCTCCCAACCTGGACAAGCGGAGGAGTCTGAACAGCAGCGGCTCCAGCCCACCCAGCAGCCCCACCGTGATCCCTCGGCTCCGGGCCATACAGCGTGAGCGCCCTCCCCGCCCGCCCGCCTCTGCCCGTGCTGTCCCTGGTTAACCGAGACTGGCGTGTTTTCGTAGCTGGCTGTAACGAAGCGTTTGACGTGTCATAGGTGTCACAACTACGGAAAACAAAATTTAGTCTTACATTTCTTAACCTAGTTTTCTTCCAGTCGCAATATTTTTATGTTCTGTGCAACCTATGATGTGATCGTGAGACGTTTTGTTACACACCTGGATACAAAATTAGCATAAGCTCATTCTGTCGGCATATTTATGGATATTTTGATAAATGAAATCAGGAATTCAAGGTTAGATCCATTTCTTTCCTTGTTTTGGAAAGAAAAAAAAATGTCTGGCTTTTGAGATTAAATTTTAATTTGGTCTGTAGTGACCAACCTAGTACTTCAAAATACCACGTGGTATTTTGGTTTTAGAAGGAGTGTTCAGCCTGGTGGAAAAGACAAAGTGAATTCACCTCTCACCTTCGTGTTCCGAGAGTTTCACAGGGGCCCTGAGTTAGAGTGTAGTGAAATGAAATGAAATGAAACTACTGATTATTATTATTATTTTTTTTTATCCTCACCCGAGGACATTTTTCCATTTTTTTTTTTTTGTTGTTCAGGTAGAGTGGGAGGGAGAGAGAGGAAGAGAGAGAGAGAGAAACATCGATGTGAAAGGAACACATCGAGTGGCTGCCATCCGCACAACCGACCAGGGCCGGGGACAAACCGCAACCGAGGCACGCGCCCTTAGCGGGAACCGAACCCGGGTCTCTCAGGACCGCAGGCCGACGCTCTAACCGCTGAGCCAAACCGGCCAGGGCACGACTGATTATTTTTAATGGTGAGTCCAAATAACCCTCAAACATAGGTGAAGCCAAAGAATATGTTTAGCACGTGTGAATGGAGGTAACCTGGCCATCAGCCTGTTACCAGATTTAATAATTCATTTACAGCCTCTTTCTCCACGAAACGTAATCGTCTGCTGCTTCCCATCTTTACTGGAGAAGAATTTCTAAGAGGATATTTTCACTAACCAGGCTTGCAGTCAGTTTCTTTGATTTTTTCTTTGGGTAATGAAAACCTAGGCACCGGTGGACTTGTGTTTTGTTTTTAAGCTGGACACCAGTGTCTTCCTAGTGAGAGGAAAATAATCTAAATAAATGTGTAATCTTAGAACTTAAAATAGCATCATCTTATTATAACTGAGTTGTCTTTCTGAGGAATTGCTTTTCGAGAAAGCCGCACTTTGCACCTGGCCTTTGACCAGATGGAGGAAGGGCGTCGGTCAAGAGCCAGAGGGTTCGAGTCGGGTCTCTGCCTTGGCAAAGGGACATGGGAACAGGAGTCGCGGCCTCTGGTTTGACCAGCTGTTGCTCTGCCTTCTTCTCTTTGTCTTCACACTCTTGTTCTTTAAAATTTATTTCTTTATTGATTTTAGAGAGAGAGGAAGGGAGAAGGAGAGAGAGATAGAAGCATTGATGAGAGAGAACATCGATCAGCCTCCTTCTGCATGCCTCCCACTGGGGATCGGGCCCACAACCTGGGCATGTGCCCTGACCGGGAATCGAACCGGCGACCTCTTGGTGCCTGGGTCAGTGCTCAACCACTGAGCCACACTGGCCAGGCATCTTCACATTCATTTTGTCATTGTTATTCTTTAGGACTCTTTTTTGTTTGTTTAAAGAACAGTTTTAGGTTCATAGCAAAAGTGAGCAAGATGTACAGAGATTCCCATACTCCTTCCCCCCAGACAGCCGTCCCCCACTACTGCCACCCAGTGACAGAGGTTACATTTGTTAAAGTCCATGGACCTACATCGACACATCGTTATCACAGAGTCCACGCTGGGCTCACTGGTGGTGTGCGCTCTGTGGGCTTGGACACGTGTAAGACGTGCATCCGCCATTGTCCAGGGTGTGCTGCTTAACCAGGAGGTACGTTCCGAGGAACGCAGCCGGGGACCTCGTGGTCGTGCTGTCATCACAGTCACTTACACACCCGGCAGTGCAGCGGCTCTGTGAGCACAGTGTGGACATCCCTCGTGCACAGAGTGGCCACGGGTCAGAGCAGACTCCACAGCACGCAGCACACAGGATGGGGGACGGGAGTGGTTAGGAAGGGCACCTGGCCTTGGCTGGTTCGGCTCAGCGGCCTGAGTGTTGGCCCGCGGACTGAAGAGTTGCGGGTTTGATTCTGGTCAACGGCACGTACTTCGGTTGCAGTTCGGCCCCTGACCCTAGTTGGGGTCATGTGGGAGGCAACCAGTCGATGTGTGTCTCTCTCATCAATGTTTCTCTCTCTCCCCCTCCTTCCCTCCCCCCCCCCCCACTCTTTCTGAGGATAAATGGAAAAATATCCTTGGGTGAGGATTGAAAAAAAACAAAAAGGGCACCTGGACGAGAAGCACTTAGATGGTGCTTGGCAGGTGGGAAGAGCTGTGTGTAGCAGTTTTTCTTCTGCTCCTTACTTGGGAGCTGGTATGGCCTGCGGTGTCTCGCTGTCTTCCTGGGACAGCACTGGCGTGTTCCCATGGTACACTCTGCCTCGGCACGGGGCACACCCACGTGCACACCTGCTTCACTGTGAGTTGTACGTGTTCTCACGGTACACTCTGCCTCGGCACTGGGCACACCCACGTGCACACCTGCCACACTGTGAGTTGTATGTGCTCTCACAGTACACTCTGCCTCTGCACGGGGCACACCATGTGCACACCTGCCTCACTGTGACTTGTACATGTTGTCTGGCACATTTCTCATGGATCAAACATGATCGACTTGAGTTAGAAAAATTGATATGAAGGCATCAAAAGAAGCAAAAGACAACCTCCAAAGCTAAAGGAAAGGGTAATTATGTGTATTGAGATGGGAAACATTTCAGTGAATTTGAACAACAAAGAGATTACCCAAAGATTATTTAAATAATATCAAAGTAAAGGGCCTTACAGAATAAGCTTGACTTGGCATGAAAACATGAGTATTGCCCTGGCCGATATGGCTCAGTTGGCTGGAGCATTGTCCTGTTCATCAAAAGATGGGTTCGATCCTGGTCGGGACTCACAGCTAGGTTGCAGGTTTGATCCCTGGTCAGGGTGCATACAGAAGGCAACCAAACAATATTTGTCTCTCACATTGGTGTTTCTCTTTCTCTCTCTCTCTTTCCCTCTCTGTCTCTAAAATAAATAAGAAATGTATTCTCAGGTCAAGATTTTTGAAAAAATGAGTATTTCACTATCATGCAAAGAATCACTGTCTGCTAAAGAGAGCACCTTCTGAAATGTGCACAAATTGTTTTATTACTATTCTTTCTTACTGTGACTTCCTCTGGCTCGCTCAGGATTGGCACCGTCACGTGGCATCACAGTTGAGAACAGGAACAGGGGACTTAGGGTGTCGGGGTATGTGTTGTGGTTGTGGACACGCACGTCTTCCCTGCGGCTGAATAGAATCAAACGGTGGGAAAGGCGGTCACGTGGCCTCCTGGACTCCAGGCACCTGCTGCCATTGCACGTCCTTGGCATGTTCCTAGTAACAGTATCGGGATGGATAGTAACCTTGGAGCATGTATCTTTCCCAAGAGTCGGCTGATACAGTGAACTGCAGGAAGCTCGCCCATTCCCCCCAGAGCTGCTCATCAGTCTGCACAGACAGGAACCAGGAGAGCTCTGCCAACAGTAGTGACGCGAGGCGAAGGCAGGTAGGAGAGAGGGGGACAGTAGACCAGAAGCGCCGCAAAGGCAGAGCTGGGCCCCAGCCTCAGCACGGCTATAACCACAGTCATAGCCACAGTCAACGCGCTGAGCACTGGCCATGTGCTGGGCACGTCTCTAAGCTGCTTCCCCGCGTTAATCCATTTATTCGTCAAGACAACTTCACGAAGCAGATACTGTTGGAATCCCGACCAGGCGCGGAGCGCTTATGCAACTCGGCCTAACTGGGCGGATACGAAGTGGGGAGGCTGGATCCAGTCTCCAGAGCGTGGGCTCTTGACCAGACCCTTTCCAGCCTCCTGGGACAGCAGATGTTTAATGTGGATGCAAGAGAAAATGAGCAGATGAAGAGAGGGAGGAGGAAGATAAGGAAACTGGAACTTAGTTCTTGGGCCAGAGGCTGGTACACTGGGTAGTTAGATAAACTCATGTCTCATCATCTTCCAACCTGAAGCATTTGCCGCTCTCCTCGGCCGCTGTCCTGGAAATGAAACTGCTGACCCTCCACGCTAATTCCACTGCAGCCCTCTTAATAAAGACGAGCAGCTTACTCAAGATGGCCAGGCACACACATGCACGCGGATACATGTACACACACACACACACACACACACACGTGGACGTCCGTTACAAAACCCGGAAAACATTGAAACACAAATCAAGCATCACCCATAATTATCTAAAGGTTTATATTTTCCTCTTTACAAAAGCAGTTGTCTCTCAAAGGTCAACACGTGAATAAAAGTTTGATATGTTTCTTAGCTTTTCTTATGTATACATACACGTGTATGTATAAATGCTTAATTTTTACTGAAAAATTGGTGATATATGTTTTATATAACATTATATATTATTTTTATCTATACCTCATTTTTACAGCCACAGATTATAAATATGTCATGTTTTAAATTGTGTTTTTAGAACATCTGGTATGTTACAGGACTGTATTTCTAAGTGTATAGTGATAATAGCTATTTTCTGCAGTGATTCCTAAGTCAGTGGTAAATTCACAGAAAGACATTTCGTGTATCAGCAAAATGTGGACATTAAACATGAGTAAAAACCTCCCAGTGAGTTGATTAAAAATAAGACAGGACATGGGGAAACTTCCGTATTTCCAGACTTTAAAAGGTAACTATAGCCAAGCAGTGTCTCAGCGAAACTGTGACAACTCGTGAAAAATTGACCTAAGTTGCAATTTTAAATTATAGCTTTAAGGTTTAAAACTGTAATTGATTTGGCTAAAAAATTAGGGTGCCAAGTTTATTTTAACTCACATGTTGAGTTTGGCTTTTTTCCCCCGCAAATAAAGTGAAATCCTAGCTGTCACAGAATGTTAACTAAATAATCAAGTCTTTGCTACTAACTTACCTCAAATATGTACCTTTTAAAAAATTTATTTCAGTTTTTGTGCTGTTTTTATGATCAGAGAAAGAGTCTCACCATCGGTAGGGCGAAAGAAATAATTTCTTTATTGTTTTCATATTTCTTCATTGTGTACGTGTCTTGAGTAAGCTAGTTTTACAAGTGATTTGGTTCATTTTACTTAAAAAATTTTTAGTTGGTTAATGAGTGATACTCTCTGTTTAGTGACTTCAGATGAAAGCAATAAAACTTGGGGAAGGAACACGGTCTGTCGACAAGAAGAATTTGAAGATTTAAAAAGGAATTTCAAGAAAAAAGGTTGTACCTGGGGACCAAATTCCATTCAAATAAAAGAGAGAACTGACTGCAAAGAAAGGTACGTGTGTGCCACCTGGTGGTTCCGCTGTGTACTGTGCCCAGGGCCAGAGCCATATTGAGTATTGCACAGGCCAGACTTAACTTTTGAAAATAAATTAGAATTACTGACATATAAAAGAAAAGAAAAAACGAAAGAAAATAAATAAATAAATTAGAATAATGCAGAGCTATGGGAATATGATTTTAATTTCTACGATGAGTTTATCATACTACATTGTTATTTAAAATTAAGTAGTTAAGAGATCTGATAGATTTTCTGTCTCATTTTAAAATTTTATTTGTGGTTTATTAGCTCCTCAAAACCTAATTTGTTATGTGGCTCTAGTACATTAAAATAAACACCTTTCTCTTGTAGAATAAGACCTCTCTCAGATGGCAACAGTCCTTGGTCAACTCTCTTAATAAAGAGTCAGAAAACCATGCCATTGGCATCATTATTTGTGGACCAGCCAGGTATGTGGAAAATGGGTTTGTTTGAGTCAGACTTCTGGGTGTCCTGGGAGGCTCTGCTCTGGTAGCCTCAGACGGTCGTGCAGGGAGCAAGGGCAAGGTGAGCAAACAGCAGTTCTTACCCCGTCACCTAAGCTCAGAGTGATTTCCTGTCCTGTAAGTCTTCGTGGTGTTAGGTCATTTGGGTCCACATTGTTTATTGGGAATTTGTCACTCCTATTCTTTATCAGAAAAGCTAGTATCATAATTGGGTATGTAGAACCAAGTTAGTTCATTATAGGAGGTAGTAAATATGAAAATGTAGTCAGTTGAAATTCTGGATTAAGTGGGTCTTCTGGCTGATTGCCACCGCTTGACATGAAATTTTGTCCAGCAGGTTAACTATGAAAACGATTGCTTGGAGAGTATTACAGTGGAGTCTTTATTTAATTTAAATGAGCCGTATTTTTTTTTTTATTTACATTTTTTTTTTTACATTTTTACATTTTTTGTTCAGATAAAGCGGGAGGGAGAGAGAGAGAGAGAGAGAGAAACATCGACGTGAAGGGACACATCGAGTGTCTGCCACCCACACGACCAACCAGGGCCGGGGACAAACTGCAACCGAGGTACGTGCCCTTAGCGGGAACCGAACCCGGGTCTCTCTGGACCGCAGGCCGATATGCTCCAACCGCTGAGCCAAACCGGCCAGGGCTTATTTTTAATATTCAGCATTTCTAATCAATATTCAGATATCAATATTTAGATATTGAAGATGGGTGGAAATTGTTGAAAAACTTCAGGAATTGTAATCATCAAAGAAAAGAAAAGTGGTCTTTATATGTAATCATTTAAATGAAAGATGTTTAGCCCAGCCGGTGTGGCTCAGTGGTTGCATGCACCAAGAGGTCGCCAGTTCGATTCCTGGTCAAGGCACATGCCCAGGTTGTGGGCCAAATCCCCAGTGGGGGGCACGCAGGAGGTGGCCAGTTAATGTTCTGTCTCATCGATATTTTCTATCTCTCTTTCCCTCTCCCTTCCTCTCTCTTTAAAATCAATAAAGAAAAAAAAAAAGTTTAGCAAAACATGGTACATTTTTTTACTTTATTGTTAGTGCTGTGCTCAATTTTACACCTATTACTCAGTACCCCTGTTAAGCTTTCTTCTATATTTTCATGAGCACGTGTTTTCAGTATAAATATCTCCTTAAATGCATTTGAGTCTTCATGAGACAGGTGCTGTCATTCTTGGATAGATGCTTTCTGATTTATCACTTGTCCCAAGTCTTCCCTGTGAAGGCAGGAGGTTCTGTGATTCATCGTCAAAGACAGTTTGAGGGCGAATGAAGAACAATTAATATTAAAACTGTTGTTTCTGTAGTATATTATTCATTATTTGTGACTGTCCGGATAGAAGAAATAAAGAAGTCATCCTGCCTTTTTTTTTTTAGGATATTTTGATCCTATTAACCCCTCCTCCAAAGGACAGTTAGAGGAATATAAGAGCATATGTGACTGACTCAGTTCGGTCTCCCTGAGTTAACTCTGTAGTCCACTTGAAGGTTAATGGACAAAAGGTTTACATGTGTCTGTCCTGCCTGACGGTCCCCTCCCACTGCCTGTCTGAGTGGCCAGATCCTTTTAAGCATTTATGTCTCAGCCCAAGCCTTCCCTGGCCTCCTGACTGCCTTAGCTGAAATAATATCTCGCCACATCTCTCTAACTTCATACCCGTTTCTGTTCATTCATAGCTTTTATCTGAAATTCTGATCTGTGCACGTTGACACTGTAATGCGTGTGTGTCACCCCGAACTAGAAAGTCAGCTCCAGGAAGGCAAGGACTCGACTCCCAGTGCCTGGCACTTGGCAGGCACTCAGTACTTACCGAATGCCTACATCAGTCCTAAAAGGACTATCCGATCTTGTATGGGTCCTGACTGCATTTACCTGGGGTGTATAATGCTCGTCAGTGGTCATCAGAGGGGCCGGGAAAGGTTGCGATGAGCCAGTGGAAGTTCACGACCCCTGGGGAAGGTGCACACTGTGCAGCTCAGGGAGGTACGTGGGAGCACGCACTCGCAAATGCTCACCATACTTCGAAAGCTATGGATTTCATCTGACAGCAGCGTCTCCCCTCTTCTGTTTAGATGGTGGGTGGGTCATTTATGATTTGTCACATGTACTATGCACTCAGTTCACCAAAATGCATTTGTGCCCGCTTGACGGAGGCACCGCTCAGGGAAGACCAGACGCCTCAGGAGGTGAAAATCGGGGTGGTCAGAAGCTTGCTCACGTGGCCGTGGCCTCCTGGTCCATAAACGGAAGGAGCTGAGGATGCTGCAGGAATCCGAGGTCCCCCGAGGGAAGTGTTAGGCTGGACTAGTGTTGGGGGTTATTCGGCTGAGAGATTTATGAGGGGAAGCGAGCTGGGGTCGGCAGTGTCACAGAGAGGGCAGAGGACAGATGGAGGAAGGAGGGGGGCTCACCGAAGAAGACACCCGTGGGAAGAGCAGGGGCTTTTTGGGAGAAGAGCTGGTGTCTGGCTTCTTGCCTGTAGAGCCGGTTTAAGAGAGTAGTAGCACCTCGTTGTGGAGGGGTAACTGGAGGGCCACTGTGGGTCCATTCATACCCTGGAGTAGAATTGGTGGTTCCCATCGCTCATTGTTAAGCATCTATGTGGTAAGCACATGCCTTCCTCTTCAGCTAGTAGAACCTGTTACCCTTTAGGACAACCCTCTTCGGAGCGTCTTCCTCTTTAGCAGAGGCCCCCAAACTTTAGCAAAGGCTTGTGGGAACACAGACTGCTGGGCTCCAGCCCTGGGATTTCTCATTCCATGTCTGGAGTGGGCCAGGAATTAGCATTTCCACAAGCTTTCGGGTGATGCACGTGGGATGGCCCAAGGAACGCACTTCGAGAACCACTGCGAGCTGTAGACAGTGGGGCCTGAGTTGCATGTATTCGGAGGAGAAAAAGGCGCACTGTGTCTGACACACAACAGGGCCTAGGGACATGTGTGTGCATTTCCGTGTCTACATGCCTTTGTTTCTGCAGTAATTTACTTTCCGTGCCCAGGAGGAACCGTTTTCTAAAGGCCTGGACTCCGCCTCCTAGGCCCTGCTGGATGGAGCGTTTGCTGAACTGAAAAGGAGTCCACCATGCATTTGATTCAGAATATTTATTTATTAGGTTCTGGCTTTATTCTATGTATAGTTTAAAGGATTTGTACTGTAAAACTCGACTACAGTGTGTATCTGCCTTTATTAGGTGCTTGTGAAGACCCGAAACTCTGTGCTGACGGGTCAGAACACAGAAAACCGAAGCAGATCAAACCACCTGGGCCAGCCTACGTGGACTTACCTCCGGGGAAAGATGGCCAGAGAGAGGCCCCGCTGGAGGCGGACAGCTGGGAGGAGGCAGCGACCGGGAGCCCAGCCGCCAGCACCCCACAGGTGACCCCCACCAACAGTCTAAGCAGGTCGCCCCCGCGAAGGAGAACGGAGTCCGCTCTGTACGGCTGCACGGTGCTGCTGGCATCCGTGGCTCTGGGCCTGGACCTCCGAGAGCTGCCCCGGGCCCCGGCCGCCGAGGAGCCGTGGCCCAGGGAGGAAAGGAGGAAGCGCGAGGGCGTCCTCCAGTGGGCCCCCAGGCCCCGCAGCGGGGCCGCGGATCGCCCCCGGCCGCCAGCCACCAGCGAGGGCCCCGGCGTCCCAGCCTCCCTGCCGCCAGCCCGCGCCCTGGGCCTCCTGTCCAGGCCCTCTCTCTCCACAAAGTGCTTGCTGCACATGGAGGGCGAGAACTCCTTCGACGGCAGCACACACATCACGCATGAGCCCAGCATGCCCGCGCGAGGTGTCTGCCCTGCCGCTGGAGGGTGTCATCGTGAGCTGGCCTTCACCCCGAGACGGGAGGCCGATCGTGGTGCGTGGAGACACCCGTGTCCTCCCTCCTCCGAGCAGACCCGTGGGAACGTGCCTCCTTGTGCTTCTTCAAAGGAAAGAGCGTGTCACCGACGGACAGCGTCTGATGGAAATGCCTCTCAGGCCCCAGGTAGGCTGCACCGTGGGCAGAGGCCCACACGCCATGTCGGCCGGAGAATGTCACCTCGTCTGGGGGCTGCCAAGTGATGGCCTTTCCCAGTGACTGCATTGACAGATCTGCACCATTCACACAGCCCTTGGGATTTTACCCTACTCTTCATTTAACTAGCATTTGAATTCTGGGAAAAGTATAATTAAACGTCAGGAACTTAAATACGTAATAGCGCACTGAAACAGTAAGCGTGTGTGAGACGTCCCTCGTGCTGAGGGGACAGGTCATGTGTCCAAATCCGAACCAGTAATTAGTGGGAGAGCCGGAACCAACTCTGGTCCTCTCCTCTCCCGTGTCACCTGTCGTCCGCATCACCTGGCCTCGCTGCCCAGAGGGAGGTGGGCACGTTTACTGTAGAAGGCAAGTAGCACACGAGGTGCTGGGTGGGCTGGACTGTTACTCCTGTGCATGAGATAATGACGGCCACCTCAGACCTGACCTGAGTAGTGAGACTGTATGTGAGAACGCATACCTTACACTGTAGCGTACTGCTTTAGGGTTGGTGATAAAGTATATGCAGACGGAAAGTGCTTTCATTCTCTTTATCTTTTCCTCTTTTCATAAGTACTACACCTCGACGTGGTTCTTTTCATGTTATTGTCCATTGTCTTTAGAGAAATTGGTTTATTACTCCTTTGTAATCATAAAGGAGAAATCCTAGCAGAATAACCCCATAGGAAACCATTCTTTTTAAAATTAAATTTATTGGGGTGACATTGGTTCATAAGATTATAAATTTCAAGTGTACATTTCTATGGTACATGATCTGTAGGAGACCATTCTTTTTCTCTTCATTATAAGCCAATAATCACTGAGTGGAGTGGTAATAAGTCAATTCTTCAGAACAGAAAGAGAGTGAGTAACATGTAAAAACCTGACTGCTTTCCTATTTTTATTAATTTTTTTATACTCATAATCTGAGAGTGAAGTGTAATCATATTGACCATCATTTCAAGAAGTCTCGAATTGACGGCAGCCTCGTCCATTCTGGGATCTGCCCCGTGTACAGGGCGGTTCATCGGCTGTTGGCACCAGCTCCCCTCACAGAAGTGCTCTCTGTGGTCCGCAGCCCTCCCAGCCGGGCTGCACTGCAGAAGAAACCAACCATGAGGTCCTAACACTTTTAAAGGGTTTGTGTTTGGGTTTCTTTATGGAAACTCACTTTAAAGTGATTATCGAAATGAACTGTCGTAGGTCTTCGTCTTGGTGTGCGTTGTTTCAGACTCACTGTCTTTGCTTTCTCTGCCAGCTGGTGCCACAGGAGCCCCTGCGCTGCCGGCTGAGCGGGCCTGGGGGCTGCCCCGCTCCGCCTGCCCTCACGTCTGTCCTGGAGAACAGAGAGCTGTCACGACGGGGCCTCTGCCCCCCTGCTCCCTCAGCGGCCCTGCGGCTGACGCCCGGGCCTTCCCAGGGACAACAGCGCCTCGGCCGGCACGGGCCGACCCTGGCCTGGGTGGCGCAGGACCGGCCCCGGACTGTCCCCTCGGTGCCAAGGACAGAACTAGACCCCACGTGCCTTCCTTACTGGACGCGGACGCGGAGGGCCAGAGCCGGGACCGCACGCTGCCTCTCTGCCGGGTGAGGAGCAGGAGCGGCCGGCCCTCTGTCTACGAGCTGGAGAAGGAATTCCTGTCCTGAGTGCCTTACGTTGTTCAAGCATTTCTCTCTTTTTAAGGTGAACAAATTAAAACACTGTGCCTACCTTTGAATTGTCTCATGCTGCTGTGTCTTCCAAAGCTGTGGCCACGCTCCCACGACGGTGACGGTAATGGACGTGTGACGTCTCCGAAAGGGATGTGCGCGCTGTGAGCTGTAGGGGGATCGCTTTCTCCCCCGGACCCCTGCCAGCACCCGGGACACACTCCAGGTGGAGCAGGACGCGGGCGACAGAGGTCTGCTGGGAAGAGTTACCTGAGCGCAACTGCGCTGCTGCTCCCCGGCCCGTCTGCGGGCGCCCGGGACCCGCGGGGTCACCTTGTCCCTCCCTCCCTCCCTTGTTTTATTTCTCCTCTTCTTCTCACCTCTCTCTCTTGTGCAACAGAAAACCGAGAAGAATGATGTGACATTAGTAAGCAAAGGTGTCTATTTTTAAAAAAATGGTAATTAGAATAGATGCAAAGTCCCATTTAAAGTACGTAGACTCGACGGTAGGTTTATAATGCATAAATATGTCCAATTCTCACCTAAACTATGCACTATTTTTCTCTCTGAGGAAAATCTACTGAATGTAACTTGTAAAAGTTGTACTGAATGTAACTTATAAATGTATCCATTCGAAGTCCAAAGTAGATTTTTACACGGTCAGTTACTGACACTCGGCTCGGACCAGATGCGTGCGCCTTAGCGCCGTGTCCAGGTTCTTCTGTAGAAGGAGGGCCGCCATTAATTTGGTCTTCAGAAGTGTAAAGCCTTTTCATTTTGTAGCAGAATTTTAAAAAGTTGACACATGTATCATGTATTGTAAACACTCATGTCATGTAATTTTGTTTTTCTCTATTTAAATGCATAATTATCTTAATCCCGAACACAGTTAGAGGGAAACACTGCCAAGTCAAGAAACAGCAGTACTGTTAGAATTCAAGCATTGTGTAGTTATTTCACATTTAACTTAATTCTGAATGAAGCCCTGGCCGGTTTGGCTCAGCCATTAGAGCGATGGCCTACGGACCAGAGAGTCCCGGGTTTGGTTCCCGCTAAGGGCACGTACCTCAGTTGCGGTTTGTCCCCAGCCCCGGTTGGGGTCGTGTGGATGGCAGCCACTCGATGTGTCTTTCTCTCATCGATGTTTCTCTCTTTCTCTCCCTCCCTCCCTCCCGCTCTATCTGAGGATAAATGCAAGAATGTCCTCAGGTGAGGATAAAAAAACAAAACCAAAAAAAAAACCATGGTTATTCAGATAACAAACGATAAATACTTAGTTTTTTTTCATACAATGAAACTAAATTACAAATCTTCCTTGATACTTTATTTAGAATTTTACATTGGTTAAGGTTTACTGAATAACTGAAATGTCAGCAATTTAGATTAAATCAGGTACGATAAAATACCTACCTATAGAAAACATGAAAAATTCTGTTTGGTCATTTGGAAACACCTCAGTTGCTTTGTAGGTATGCCCTCAGCAGATGACCAATGTGACACACAAGGATTATAGTAACATTTTGCCCTAAAGAAAACAATCTTGTGTTTAAGATTCTTGCAGCAAAATCTCAGGTACTTGTTACGTTTTGTTGTATTCTGTTCATTCCATACCGTGGCTTTACTTTTCGGTAGATGTTGAATGAGGCCATTGAGATTTGGTTTCCTCCAAATTTTATCGCATTTGGAAAGGTGGTTGAGTGTTTCGTACTCTGTTGTTTGGGGGTGTGTAACTTCTAGCTGAAAGTAAAGGAAACGCAGGACTAAAATAAAACATGGAAGAAATACAGAAACTGTTCTCAGCTTTGCTTCTACCAAAACACTGTGTGGGGTGGGGGGCATGGAGGGTGTCCATCTGTCTCGTCCCTCTGTTCCTGTTCCTGTTTAGCTTTATTTCAGTCAACTCTGTTTTAATGAATCTAGAAATGAAGCCATTTAAAGAGATAATTACGATATAACGATTTACTCTGACATGTTACTGCATAGAGCTATTTTTTTTTTCTGAGATCTATTGTACATTTGTGATTTTCTATGTGTATACTTAGCAGAATCTGGTTATTTATTTTTGTCTAGACTTCATAGCTCACTGAAAGATAAATTAAACTGATTACTGCTAGTCAACAATTCAGGTGCTCCTGCTGCAGAGACCTAAGGCCTGGGCCTGTGTGCTGTATTGTGAAGCCTCGTGCGTGAAAAAGATGTTTACATATGTTGTCTATTTTTTTAATAAACTTTTTTATAGCTCGTCTACTTGCTCAGTGGTTTTGATCTACTCCCAGTAACTGACTATATTTTGTAATGGTTTATTTTGTATTCAATTAGGAAAAGTATGTTAATAAAGATCATTGATGCTTAATAAGCCAGGTATCAACCCGCCAAATTCATTACACTGTGGATCACTAAATGAGTCGTGGGATTAAATACTTTTATAAAAGTGTAATGAAATATTTTATTTAAAATGTTTGGTTTACACATGCATTGAAAAGTTCCACTTCCTTGTGAGAGTTTGCAGCCTCAGCTTCTCAGAAGGCGAGGAATTGGAATAGTCACAAAATTGCAGCCGGTGCTGCAGGAATGTGACTAATGAGCCTTGTTAATTGTTACCACGTTTAAATGAGATGAATTTCAGAAACCACCCAACATCTGGTAATTCTTGAGTGAATTAGAAAATCAGATCACAGCATTTCATGCAGATCCCAGCATCACCCACCATATGAAAGGGAGGGACATTTGTCATCATTGTGCATCTCCTAGGTTCCCATATAAGACATCTGTGACTCCCTGTAATGAAATTTGCAAGGTAAGCAGTAACATCCCTGCGTCATTGGATATGAAATAGACGCAGACGTCTGGTAAGTTGCTGAAGCAGCAGCCTGTTTCGGGTCACAACACCTACCTGTTCACCCTGTGGTAACCACACGCAGAGCACAGAAGGCAAAGGCATCGGAGGCCCCAGCCTTGCCAATGCAACCCAAAGCTAAGGTAGTTTTTCATTCATCGGCAAAAGTCTACAAATGTGTAAGTACTTAACTCAAAGCAAAGCCAACAGTGGTGAGTATAGTGGGTGCTTTCTTGGTGAGTGTAAAACTATATGGAAAGTACTAGAACATTCATCTCTAATAGAACAACTAGGAAAAATGATGGGTTTATGAATGATGAAATTAAGTACTGCAGAATAAATGTAAAATAATTGGGTTTAAGCTGTCTATACTCTTTACTTCTGAAGAGGCCAACATGCTAAAACACAGTGAAAAATGAAGTCTTCATGAATTAAACTATGTCAGGTGTCATGCAGTGGATCCCACTTGGATGTTTTTTACAGCCAAGCTGAGCTGGGGGAGGGGGCAGGCCATCAATCTAATGCCACAGACTCTCACTGTTCTTACCAAGATTCAGTATATCTTTTTGAGTAAATATTTATTTGTTGTATGCTTTCAAGACAATTTCTAGAGGCTTTAAAATTTTTTTAAAGACAGTTTCTCCAGTTATGGTGATTTCCTGGTGGGGCTGTCCTTGAACCTTCTCATGCGGCCATCCCATAAGTGGAACCGCATGGCAGTGTCTTACAAAGCTGATCACTGACTCCTTTTGCAGCGTGTTCTCCTATTGGCTCATGCAACACCACCCACCCGCATTCGTGTTGTTAGTTCCTGGCTCTCACTGTGAGGCCAGTCCCTCAGCTGTCTCCAGCCCCACCCGAGCCTTAGAATCCATGCGTACATATTGCGCTTTCTTGTCATCAGATGGCTACCAGGCATTTCAGCCTGGACGTGGCCCAGAAGGACCCTGACTCAGCGCCTTCCCTGAACTCACACCTTAGGGTTAGGGTTAGGGATAGGGTTAGGGTTAGGGTTAGGGTTAGGGTTAGGGTTAGGGTTAGGGCTAGGTCTCCCTTGGTCTCCTCTCAGCAAACAGCCCACTAGTCATCCCGAAGGAGCAACGTCGCCAGCGCTTTCGTATCACCCATGGTGGTTCCGCACCGATTTGTAGGAAAGTTGGATGAATTGCTCCCATTTTACACATGAAGAGACTGGAGCTTGGGGATGGCAAGTCAGCTGCTGGATCTGAATCCAGTCTGCGTCTAATGCTTTTAAAAAAAATTGTATTGAATTTCAGTCAAGACGGCGGCGTATGTAACCCTGATATCGCCTCCTCCCACAACCACCTGAACATGACAACTGAACTACAGAACAACCATCATTCAGTCCATCTGAAATCGAGCTGAATGGAAGTCCTACAGCTAGAGACTTAAAGCAGCAGCCAAATGGAGACTGGTAGGAGGGCGGAGGTGCGGATGGGCTGGTCCCACAACCACGTGCGGCGGATAAAATTCAGGAGGGACACCTGGGCTAGGATAGTCTTCCCTGAGGAGTGAGGGGTCCTGTCCCACACCAGGTACCCAGCTCAGGGTCCCAGTGCCAGGAAGAGAATCCCCATCATTTCTGGCTGTAAAACCAGCAGGAACTGAGGCTGAGGGAGGCTGAGGCTGCTGGAGCCCCAGGCAGCTCCTCTTAAAGGGCCCGCGCACGGACTTACTTGGACTCACTCCTTCTAGGCTCCAGCTCTAAGAAGGCAGCTTGAAAGGCACCAGGGACAAAAAGGGAAGAACTGAGTTGTTTGACATCAGGGCAAGGGCTGGAGAGGTAGCTTTCTCCCAGACATACTTGATGGCGGAAGCCTTTGTTCCTTTGGTGAGCCCTTCCCCCATGGGCCAGCAGATGGGAGCAATATCTGGGACTCCAGTACCTGGCTTACACAGTTTGCTTCACCCTGGTGATACCCTGAGGTCCTGCCGCACTCAACTTTTCGGCCCACGAAGGCTGTTTCCAGTGGCTTTACCATAGGATTGGCCTGTCTTGGTTCCTTCTTCAGATTTTCCTAAATTCTCTCCAACAAGCAGCATCTGGCCGCAGTGAGCCCCATACCTCTCACCAAGTGACCCCAGGCTTGGCAACAGCCAGACTTGGTTCATAATTTGGCCTTCCTTGCCTGGGCACCTC